GGTTCTCTTCTTTCATAATGGCTGTCTTCCCCTTCGGCTGACGTCAGACTCTGCTGCCTCCTGTAATTTTCCTAATTGCTTTCTCTTCTGCCTCAACAATGGAAAAGAAAACTTTATGACATCATATTTTACAAGGTGGTCAGACTGGGAAAGAACAGAGGCTTGGGGCATCCTGAAGGAGACTTTCCCCATAAGAGCTGCATGTGGCTCCAGCCACAAGTCAGGAGTGCAGTGGCACAGAGAACACTGCTTTGGGATTTGGAGAATGAGCATGGTTTAAAAATTAGGTTTTATTTTTACGTGTATAGTGTTCTGCCTATATGTACATCTGTGCACTACATTGGTGCCTGGAGCTAGTGGAGTTACAGATGTTGTGAGCCAATCTGTGGGTCCTGGGAATTGAATACAGGTCCCCTGGAACAGCAGCCAGCCCTCTTAAGTGCTGAGCCATCCCGCTAGCTCCATGGGAATGAGGATTCACCTCGGGCCTCCTCTATGTTCAGTTCCTGCACCTTCTCGCACATTTCAATCTTGAAGCCACAAAAGGAGTTCTATTTGAGGTGGTATGACATAGGCCCCTCTGGCCAGGCTCTTGCTAGCACTCAGATACAGGGCTGTGGCGGCTCAGTTTCCTGTGGTCTCTTCCGCTTCCTTGGTTAGTGCTGGCTACACCGAGAGAAGGAAGAGGAACTTTGGGTCAGCAGGAGAGAGGAGACCATGAAAGAGTCTTGTAGCTGGAGACACTCCTGCCTGGCTCGAAAGGCAGTTTCAGTTTGCAAGAGAGTGAGGACTAAGCTGAGGATGCCGTTAAGTTGGTACAGTGCTCTTCCTAGTTTGCATTAGTCCCTGGGTCCCGCCCCTCACACCTCATAAACCAGATGTATGTCACACCCTGTCACAAGCACTAGGGAGGTGGAGGCAGGAGGATCAAGAAACTCCCGAATTCTCAGAATAATACTGGTTTCGGGAAGGATTGTCCTGATTTGCAGTGACAAGTGTCACGTCCCTCAAGCCATGGAAAATGTGATTTGGCTATTAAGTCTGTTGGTATTAAGTGTTCTCATTATACTGCTAAAGGAGGCATGGCTAATCCAGGCCCAGTAGTACTGTGTCACCACTGGAATGCATTTGTTTTGTTGTTTTGGGCCGAGAGTGGCTAGGTATAAAGAGGCCAAGTGTGAGTGTGTGTGTGTGTGTGTGTGTGTGTAAATGGTGTATGTGGTGTTTGGAAAATAAACCTTGTACTTCAGTCTGCTTCCTAATCTGCCAAAAAGAGGTTCACCTCTTACTAGTTCTAAGGCACAGCCTTACTAGGTTCCCTTCCCTTTGATTGCTTGCCAAACTAGCATGCTCTCTTAGGAGAGGGCACAAAGCCCAGCTGGAGGGTGACAGAGATGTTAGGTCACTCCTGACCATCATGTACACAGCCTCTGTCACATCTCTTTAATCTTTCTTATCAGTACCTCTTTTGGGGCCCTAGGAGAAATCAGTTACCTAAGTGAGAAAGTAACAGGCTGACGAGACTCCCTGCCTGCTGAAGAGCAGGTTCTCAAATAGGGACTGCTGTTTGTGCTTGCACGGCTAACTGAGTGGGGGTAGGGGTTGAATTTGCTGCTGGACCTGGACTGACGTGTTAACATCTTCCATGAAGGCACCACAAATGAACTATTTCAAGGCGTGAATCCAAGTGTGTAATAACAGACCTGGCAACCAATCACCTCATTTGTCTCTTAAAAAGTTATGTATTACAGCTCCACCAGGTGGTGGCCAGCAGTGTGGATGAAAGCTAGAGGGCGAAGCTGCTTTGAGAAGTTATTTGTACACGGCAGAGTTGAGGACATCCACTGTGTAGTATAATAAAGGGCAAAGAAGGGAGAGTACCAGAAAGGGCTGTAAAAACACAAGCAGACCCTCATAACTGCAGCGCACCTTTGGCACAAATACTCAAATGCCATGAGCTGTTTGTAAATGGCTTTGTAGAATGGTCCCCTTGTTCTGCTGTTCCTGTTGGGTCCCAAGGGGTGTCTTGTATCTTGTGGTTATGCTCCAGAGTGGCATAGATTCATGCCCAGGTCGTAAGCATCAGCATCTTGAGGAATCGGGAAAAGATACTGCTAATCTAGCTTCTGGGTTAGACCCTGCTCCCTTATGTGTTCTCCTTTTTCTACACTGATATTGATGATAGAAACTGGAATAAGGCAGTTTTCATTCTTCTTCCCCTCGTTCTTATATGGCACAGATGTAAACAAAGTCCATACCCACCTTTACTGAACAATCTGACTAGATATCACATGCTAAAAACAAAATAAGTGCTGCTAAAGTAGATCAGACTATCCACTTGTTTGAGGCAGTTCAAAGAATAAAACAGAACCCAGGCAACTGCTAAAACATCAGAAAGTAAAATTCATCTTCCCAGCTTTTTGATTCTATTCCTATCTGAGTTTAGCAAAAAGAGAAAGAAATATCCCCCCCCCCCATTTTTGTTTATTGACTTACCTTAAAAAGCTTGATTAAGGTAATAGTTTTGCAGCATATGGTATGTCCACCTAAAGTATACCATCCGGTGCTTCTCAGTATTTGCAACCCCTTAGTCGGTCCAGATGGTCACAGTTGCAGTTAGCATGTACTTGCAGTTTAATTGATTGTATTTTTTTCATTGAAGACATTGATTTGGAAAAAGCATAACCCCAAATAGAGTCTAGCTTTTAAGTATAGGACTTAAGAGACAGTGGCAAGCAGTGGGACTTAGTCCCTTGGGTTTCTCCTTTGCATCTCTTATTTTTTAATATTTATATTTATTTATTATATATACAGTGTTCTGACTGTTTCCCTGTAGGCCAGAAAAGGATACCAGATCTCACTATAAATGGTTGTGAGCCATTGTGTGGATGTTGGGAATTGAACTCAGGACCTCTGGAAGAGCAGCCAGTACTCTTTTTTGTTTTGTTTTGTTTTTCCGAGACAGGGTTTCTCTGTGTAGCTTTGGAGCCTATCCTGGAACTCGCTCTGGAGACCAGGCTGGCCTCGAACTCACAGAGATCCGCCTGCCTCTGCCTCCCGAGTGCTGGGATTAATGGCGTGTGCCACCAACGCCCGGCCAGCCCCATCTTAACCTCTGAGCCAGTACTCTTAACCTCTGAGCCATCTCTCCAGCCTCATCTCCTTTTCGTCTTAACAGCACTGCTGTCTGTATTTCTTCTCCTTTAAAAAACAAACAAACAAACAAACAAACAAAAAAACCAGCCCGTTCATTATTTTAAATTAGCCAAGAATGAGGATGGATTTCACTTTGCCTCCTCCCACCCTTTCAAAGCCTGTTTTGCCTTCCTCCATGCATGCTGCTGACGTAATGCGATTATGTTCCTGGGTGATATGAAGCTCTGAGAAGCATGGCTTCTCGGCTTGAAGTGTTAACTTGGACTGTGAGGTAGACTTTGATCTAGGAGTTGTTTTTTGTTGTTGTTGTTTGCTTGTTTGTGTTCTCCGAGACATTGATGTGAGAATGAAGTCTTTGATTTTAATAGCTCATCTGTCCTCTTGCCGCATGCCCACTTGAGCTGTCATAGTGCACTGTGAGGAACACTGTAGCTGGTTGCTATGGAATTAACACTAAATAAAGGTTTATAACTGAAAGCAGACGTGAAGCAGAGTTGCCAATTTCTTAAAGAGGTTTTAGATATGGGTACAGATCTATTCCTTTAAGAGTAATAACTGATTTGGACGAGAATGTCAAGACAAGGGCTGGACAGATGGCTCAGTGTGTAAATCGATTGCCTGGCAAGTACAATGAGTTCAAGTCCCAGCGCCCACTGCTGAGTGTGGCTACATGTGAGGAATGGCATCAGGCATGGCTGTGGGTGCACTTGTAACCCCTGGAGAATCACAGGCTTCCTGGACACCAGCATGGCTCAAGGTTTGATGAGAGACCCTGCCTCAAGGGAATAAGGTAGAGACCGATAGAGTAAGGCACCTAAGGTCCTCCTCTGGTTTCCATAAGTGTGCACAGGCATGCTTAGCTGCTCACATTTGTGCATATAGATCACCCTCATTCTCCACCTCTGGATGAAGTGGAGGTGGTAGGGATTGTTTGGGAGATGGGAGCTTGCCTGAGAACAATTCCAGTCACCCCTTCCACTTCTAAATGTTGTATGGTGCTTGGGCTAGAGTGTTCCGACAGCTCCATGACCACAGCTCTGAGGGTTCCGCCATCATTGATCCATCTTCTACAGTGAAGGTCTCCTACCTGCACAGCACATACATTTTTGAAAGCTTTTTTTTTTAAATAATGGAAAACATTTAATTTGCTTTGATATGTTTTTAAATTGGCCAGAGGTGTCTCTGTCAAATAAGGATTGTGTGGTTTTCAAAGACTGAACAAGAATGGATATAAATAGAATTGGGGCCATTTATCAGTATCTATTATTTTGTTTCATTAACTGAATTAATGTCTAAGCATTTAGCCCAAGGAATATATGCAGCTCTATTTTATTAATGGCTTAGCCTTAATCCACTCATCTTCTTAGCGTGCAGTAAGTGCAAAGTAGTTAGGAATTCTTATAGTCATCTACTGCCCATGGAGGACTTACATAATAAAATTAATATCCCCTCATTCTTTCTCTTCCCTTTGCTCTTTTCTGAGTATTTGTTAAAGTGCCTCCCCCTCTCCCTGCTACTGTTTAATCTATAGCTAGTCAATTTTGTGTCCTGAAAAAAGAATATAACCCAGTGGTACAGCACCTGACAAGTACTGGAAGGTCCTGGGAAAAAAAAAAAAAAAAAAAAAAAAAAAAAAAAAAAAAGCCAATGAGTTAAATAATGTCACCATTGTTTTTGCATTGATAATTAGAGAAGAAAAATCTCCTAATAAATCCAGGGCTCTTTAGACTCATTGTAAAAGGGAAGAGCTGAGGCTCCAGGTTAATCTAGTTATCTCACTAAACAAATTGACCAGTGTGTATTAGTTTTGTGCCGTCCATGGTGATACTATTTTGTTTGTTTAGATATCCTCGGAACAGAAGATGCTGTTGTAGAAGCGATGTCCACCGATGCCGTGAGGTTTTACCCCTGGACCATTGATAACAAGTACTATTCAGCAGAGATCAATCTGTGTGTGGTGCCAAGCAAGTTCCTAGTCACTGCTGAGATTGCGGAGTCGGTCCAGGCGTTTGTGGTTTATTTTGACAGCACACAGGTAAGCTTTTGTTTCCAGTGGTGCCTTCAGTCAGACATTGTCATAAGCTTTCTTTTTCTCTTCTATGCTCTCTGACTTTCTCAATGTGTCTTTTCATTTTTGCTTGTTTTTGCCCCTGTAGAAATCTGGTCTTGACAGTGTCTCTTCATGGCTTCCCCTGGCAGAAGCATGGTTACCTGAAGTGATGATCCTGGTCTGTGATAGAGTGTGTGAAGACGGTAGGAGCCTCAGACATCCTCAGCTCATCATGTTACTCTGTGAAAATCCTGCAAGACTTCTGTTGTTTACAGCATACTTTGAGGCTGAGATCATTTACCTTTATATAGCTTAATTCTGGATGCCTTTAGAATGACATTGACATTTGGGGGAAAACACCGAGGCCTGAGGAGAGTGTTGAAAGTTGTTCGTGTCTTATGATAATTTTACTTAGAGTCTTTTACATGTTGTTTTAGGAGTAAGCCGACAAAAGGCTCAAGAGTGGTGCATCAAACATGGCTTTGAGCTGGTAGAGCTCAACCCAGAGGAGCTGCCTGAGGAAGATGGTGAGTGTTGATGTCTGGAGGAAGCTGGCTTTGGGTTGAGGCCTAAGAGACTATTCCAACCTAGGGTAGAGTGATCACAGCAAGAGCCCAGAAATGTTAGTTTCTCCAGCTGTTGAAAAAGCTTTGGGCAAAAGCCACTAATATGGGCCTACCAGCACTGTCATAGTTTGCTTGCTGGCTTTTTCCACCCATTTTAGAGCATTTGAAACTGTGTGTGTGCTTAACTAGGTAAAGTAAGAGATCACTGTTGAAAACTATTGCCATTTCCCTGTCCTTTATCCACTGCCAGCCAAGGATAGTGGGACCTGTGTTTGTGGAATTTATGTTCCTTCTTTTGAATTCATAGTAAGCTAAGGCTGAATTCCCAGAAACCTCAGGAGGCATGCCAAACCTATTGATACCCAAGCTAAAAATAGACTCAGAGCCTCCCACGCCCCACCCACCCCCAGGGCAGCTAGCTGTGCATCGCCTGCCTTCTGCTACTTCTGCAACCGTCGGGACCTTCAGTTTCTCTTCTTTCCTTTCTTCTTCTTTTTTTTCTTTTTGGTAAGATTTATTTTTGTATTTTATGTGTTTGAATGTTAGGCTACATGTGTGTTTGTGTACCACATGCATGCCTAGTGTCTTAGGAAGCCAGAAGAGGGCATCAGAACCCCTGGAACTGGAGTTACAGATGGTTATGAGCTACCATGTAGCTAATAGGAATCAAACTCCAGGCCTCTGGATGAGCATCCTGAGCTCTTAATTCCTGAGCCACCTTCCCATTAAAAAAGAAAGGGGGGAGAGAGACAGAGACAGACAGACAGAGAGGGAGAGGAGAGGAGAGGGAGAAGGAGAGAGATGTGAAGTTATTTTTAATTTTTTATTTATGTTTATGTGTCAGTGTGTCTCCAAGGTCAGAAGAGGACTTCCCCTGGAACTCCAGTTCTGGATAGTTCTGAGGCACCTGAAGAGTGGGTTCTGGGAACTGAACCTGGGCCCCCTGCAAGAGTAGCCCGTGCTCTTAATCACTGAGCTCTCTCTCCAGTCCTTTCATCTTCTCACTTTCCAAGTATACCTATATGAACCCAGCCAAACCCAATTCTTGGCCCATAAGAATCTTATAACTTGGTACTAAAAGTGAGCCATAAGCTACATTCACAAATAATTGAGTTTCCCAAATAGAATGTCCCTAGACCAAAAGGAATGTAGTGTCGTGGTGTTCCAGAGATGGGGCTATTCCTGTGTATGGTTCAGAGAGCATCTGACACTCTGACTTTAATGTGTCAGACTCTTCATGGGGAAGAAGTGGAAAAGGTGCTGGACTTGAAGAGACCTGTCCCGAGGGGTCCTTAGAAGATGCAGGCTGTCCCAGGAGACATTCCAGGCAAAGAAGCCAGTGTGGATGAAACACTAGGTAGGACAGAACAAGAATGAAATAGGGAGGCAGGTTTTCATTCTTACACAGCATAAAGAATACTGAAAGTTGGCTGAAAGGAAATGAAATATTCCCTTCCATATTTTTAAGTTCCCTAAAATTTGTACCCAACTTGGTGTATGTGAGCATGTGTAATGACTGTTGTCATCTTAGAATTTGCTCCTTTCTACTGGGGAGTTGTTCTGCAAACAGTACCCATCTTTGAATTTATTGTGTGTGTGTGTGTGTGTGTGTGTGTGTGTGTGTAGGTGTAGGTGCTCACATGTCCAAAAGCACGAATCTGGAAGTTAGAGGTTAACTTTTTGGGAGTGGGTGGACCCAGGGTGGGGATTGAGGTCATCAGGCTCGAAGCAAGCCCTGATGCTTGCAGAGCCATCTTGTCAGCTCTAATTCGATATAATTTTAAGACAGATTTTCTGAGACATGTAATCTTAGAGCAAGGTAATAAATAAAAACTTTCTAGAATTCTTAAATACAAACTGCTCCAAAGCCGCCTTTCTTCTTCCTTCCTTTGTGGGTACTTTTCACACATCCACTATTTTATCAAGTCTTACATTACTGCTGCTAGCTCTTCATTTCAGATTGTATTTTTGGGTTTAGTGTCTTAAGTATGAGTGATTCTTTCAAGAACTGCATCATCCATAGTTAAGATGAACAGGGCTTTTTGTCTTCATCCAGACGGGAATGGGATTCCCAGTTTCATCCTCATTTAATGCTGCCAGGTTGGTAGATGCAATTCTTTGGGTGATTCATTAGCCATGAAATACTGTCTGCTGTTACTCAGGCACTCTGAGGCAGTAGGCATGATGAACTCAGTTAGGCATGCTTCCTGCCTGCAGGAGCTTCAAGTATAAAGGGGGAGAGTACACCACTGAGTCCCCAGTCCCCACCATCATGCCTCCGAGAGAGGTACTCAGAGTGCTGTTGTCCCCGCTACTCTCAGAGGCTAGTTAAGTGACTTGCCCTTGATCAAATGGTTGGTAATTGGCAGAGCCTGGGTTCAAATTTAGATCTTCTGATGTCTAAGTCTCTCTTTTTTCCTATTTAACCCAGACCAGGCTAGACCACTAGACATGGGTTCGGCAAACTCTTTTTCTCTCTGACCCACCACATGTGGATTATTTCTTACACTATTTTCCACCTGAAGTCTTGTGTTCCTCATTTCTGAAGGACCTGTGCTTACTGGGCACAGTGATGCCTGGATTGTAGCTAAGAAACTGCTGTTACTGGTTGCTGGCAGAGAGTAAGGCCTAACTGTTTTAAGTAGAACTGCCAAATTCTAGAGACAGGGTGGTGCTAACTCTAAAGCAGCTGCTGCTTGTCCTTGGTCAGGTTGTTATACTGGAGCAGAAGCCTGGGCTTTGGCTTCAAACCTGAGGCAAATGTTCTGTATTTTAGTCGTCTCCCAGCCTTCTTTTTGCTTACTCTTTTGATACAAAGTTTCACTGAGTTGTCAATCTGAATTTCGGCTTCTGTTGTCCAGGCTGGCCTCCAACATGAGAACTTCCTGCCTCAGCTTTCAAGTAGCTGGGATTATAGGCTCCCTGGTGCAGCTGCCAGTCCAGCTAAGCTTTGATTCTTAACTGCTTTCTCTGATCAAGAGATAATAGGTAATAGGTGATAATCGTCCACAGTGGAAGGCAGCATCACATTACACAGAGTTGCATTATAGCACATAGAGAGGTCCTCCTCCCAGGGATCAAACTCAGGTCACCAGGCTTGTGTCACAGTGCCTTTACCCACTAAGCCATCTTACCAACCCCTGGAAATTCATCCCGCATAGATAAGCTGAGAGTATTATTTTATTTTTTTAAAGATTATTTTAAAGTGCATTCAAGTGCATATGGAGGCTTTGTCACACCCCTGGGGCTGGAGTTATAGGCAGTTGTAACCCACCTACCATGAGTTCTGGGAATTAAACCTCTGTAAGAGCAGCAAGCACTCTTACCCACTGAGCCATCTCTCCAGTCCCAAGATTAGTGTCTTTAATGCTACATTGGGGTTGTTTAATGAGAGCTTGCTTTTTCTGAAAACTGTGAGTAGATTTCATGGGTGAGGTGATAGAGATAGAGTGATCACTGATAGAGATAGCGTAATCACACAGCTCTCTTCTATCGTGACTGTTCATATCAGGAGTTCTGAGCCCTGGATTGCTTTATCCATCTACTTCTGTATACAGTACATTATGAAGCAACAGCTAAATAAACAAGATGATTAAACCCGAATATTTAAAAGTTTGGCTTTGGGGACACATAGGCATATATATGAATGCGTAGCTTTTTCTGGATGTGTGTACAGATTTGTGTGTTTCTTTCCCTGGTAGATGACTTCCCTGAATCTACAGGTGTGAAGCGAATTGTACAAGCATTGAATGCCAATGTCTGGTCCAATGTCGTGATGAAGAATGGTGAGTAATTGGATGTTGTTGTTTTTTACCCTGTGACATGTTTTAAATTATATGGATATATGTGGAACTATTGGTATTCTGGGAAATCTTTATTCCCATTCTCAAGTTTTTAGTTGAAGGAAGAGCCAGAAGTAACAAGCTGGGAATGTTTAATGTATTGTTGAATTGGTGGTTCAGCAAGTATATAAATGTTACAGTATGTCTCACATTGTCTTTGGCTTTAAGAACAACCTAAAATTTTGATATGATCTTTATCATTAAGGAGCTTCCTTGTCTACTGTGGGATTCTTTATAGTACTCTCTGTCTTTGCCCTTTCTGGACATTTTATGTTAATGGAGTTTGTATGTATTTTTCAAATGCCAGGTGTGCAGGCAAGGTGGTGTGATGAACACAGAATCAGAAACATGGCTGCTGTGTTCGTCCTAACATAGAGAGAGCTTCCAGGAGAGCGTGGCTTCCTGGACCATTCTTCATCGGATGGTCAAGACTGAAAGGGGAGAATGCTCTGCTGGAGGAGGCATGGCTCCAAGAACAAGGCTTTTATGTCATAAAGAACCTGGGAGAGTCTCACCTAGCATTAGGAGCTCCCATATATGTCAGAATGCTAGGCAAGGAGAAGTGGACTTTGTTCTGTAGCAAGTGGTGAGACCCTAGAGGTGGGGTCTCTGCAGGGTTGACATTAGCGTAGTGTGTTGGAGATGGAGATGGAAGTAGAGTCCAAGGTCAGGGAGACCTGAGCTGCTGTTGCAGCATCCTGAGGGCGAGTGTTGGGCCCTGAGTGATGTGATGGTGGTGTCTGTGGGGTGGAAGTCTGGGTCTGACATGTAGTCTTAGTTGGCTGGCACCAGCTCTTGGAGTCTGCATTAGCTCGCTCAGCCTTTGGGAACAAGCTTTCAGTCTAGATGGCTTAGAACAGCGGGAATTTATTGCCTCACAGTTTTAGAAAAAGTTCAGAAGTCCTACCTTGAGGAGCCAGGGCCACCACCCTCCAAAGGTGCTGGAGAAGGATTGCCCAGACCTTGGTTCCCAGCTTCTGTCTGTTCTTTGGTGTGACACTGTTACTTCTAATCTTCCTATGGTTTCTCCCTATCTGCATGACTTTGTTCGTATCTCCTCTATTATAAGGCCAGCAGTGATACTAAATTAGGGCCCACCTATAGTCATGTAATCCATTTTAATTTCCCTATTTCCAAATAGAGGTGTGCATTTTGCTGTATTAGAGGTTAGGACTTAGCTTTGAGGTTTGGGGACTGCAGTTCAAGTCTACAGTGTAGTGACTTAACAAGTGTGCAGTGTTAGGTGAAACTCTACAGAAGGGAATGAGAAAAGTCATATTTACAGTAGGTCTATCTAGCCTGTCTTCCTTGAGATAAAAGGCAAGTGGACGGCCAACTTGATGGATGCAGAATGCTTCACCCAGCTGTGGGGAGACACTGAGTGTTAAGTATTGTTGGCACCCTGACCTCTCATCTACCCCTTGTGCTTGGCAAAGCCACTTCTTGACAATAAAGTAATTTCCTCTCTTTTCTTCTCCTGTCTCCTTCATCCTTCCCATTTCATGTTAGGGAGAATCTGATATGTCTGCTGTGTCCTTTCCATCCATTCACAATTCTTTCGTTCATTCATTCATTCATTCATTCATTCATTACTTCTCTGTTGAGCATTTGCCATAGCAAGCTATTGCTTTAGACTGTGTACAGTATAAAACTAAGTTTAAGATATGGTCCATAAACTAGATCAATTTAGAATAACATTCTATTCAGTACTGCCTGTTATAAATTTCTTGAAATAGCTAGAAATTCAGTAAAGCTTTTTTGGCTTTAATCATTTTTGAAAACCCTGACCCCAATTTCATATGATAAAGAAATGATGGCTTATAATTCACATTGATAGCTTTGCAGCCACCCACTATAGTTATGGCTTCCATGTCCTTGGAGTTAACAAACCACAGATTGGAAATGGTTGGAAGGAACATGTCTGTCTGAACACACACACACACACACACACACACACACACAGTTTATTCTTTTACTTGCACTGTTCCCTAAACAACAGTATAAGAGGGATCCCCTTAGTAGTTACACTGTGTTAGCCATTGCAGGTTGCAGGTAATGGAAGGTGTATGGAAGGGGCGCCTAGCTTACACCAATTCTGTAACATTCTGTAGCAGGGACTGGCTCTGGTATCCGGGAGATCCTAAACATGTAAATCCACAAGCTACACTGAACATACTTTTCCTTCTGTCCTAGATGCTTTTTTGTCAGTTTAACGCAAGCTAGGGTCACCTGGGAAGAGGATATTCCCATGTCCTCAGTTGAGAACTTGCCTCCATTTGGTTCATAGCAAGCCTGTGGGGCATTTTCTAGATTGGTGGATGAGTTTCGAGGGCCCAGCTCACTGTGGGTGGGGACACTCCTGGGTTCTATAAGAAAGTAGGCTCTGAGTAAGCCATGGAGAACAAACCAGTAAACAGTGTAAACAGTGTTCCTTCGTGGTCTCTGCATCAGTTCCTGCCTTGAGTTCCTGCTCTGACTTCCCTCAGCTGCAACTTTAAGCTAAAAATGAACCCTTTCCTCTCCAGAGTTGATTTGGTGCTGTCATTTTATCACAGCGATGGAGAGCAAACTAGAAAAGAACAGTCTTTTTTTTTTTTTTTTTTTTTTTTTTTTTTTTTTTTTTTTTGAGACGGGTTTCACTGTGGCTTTAGAGGCTGGAACTAGCTCTTGTAGACCAGGCTGGTGTTGAACTGACAGAGATCCACCTGCCTCTGCCTCCCAAGTGCTGGGACTAAAGGCGTGCGCCACCACCGCCTGGCTAGAACAGTTTCTTTGTGCACAGTGGAACAGTATTCTGAAGTTTGAAGCAAGGAGACACATTGCATGGCCCTGAAGTGCCTCCTTCCTTCCTTCCTTCCTTCCATCCTTCCTTCCTTCCTTCCTTCCTTTCTTCCTTCCTTCCTTCCTTCCTTCCTTCCTCCTTCTCTACAGTCCTGAGACATTGATGTGCTTTTAGCTAAAACCCCAAAGTTTAGCATTAGCCTACTTTGACGTTAAGAGGACCCAGGTCTATGTTATAAAGGAAATGCCCTGTCTCCTCCTAGGAGCAGTGTGGAAGTGCAGGTCTTACAGAGATCTGTGTAAATGTGTGGTGGACCATAGCATCCATCCAGGGCAGCCTGCCTCCTCTGCCACATGAGAACCTTCAGCCTTTCTGATGTGAATGCCAGCAAGCTTCATCTTCCTCAGCAGCCACCCACTGCCTCCCACCCTTCCTCTCCTCTTCTCTTGCTGTGTACATATGCAGGTGTGTGGGATGGAATACACATGTACGAGGAGACCAGGGGTCAGCCTTGGATGTTGTTCTTCAGGAGCCATCCACCTCGTATGTTTAAACAGTCTCTTGCTGGGTCCAGGGGCTTGCTGAATAGGCTGTACTGACTTAGACTGTGAGCCTGAGACCCACCAGTTTCTACCTCCTCAGCGCTGGGATTACAAGCACATGCCTCCACTCTGGCTGGAGGGGCACACTCGTGGTCTTGCACTGCAGGCATTTCAATGGCTAAGCTATCCACCTAGTCACATAGGTTTTTCTGAAGGTCTAAAGTTAGGCATAAGAGAAGGGCCTATCAATAGGCCATTACGAGTTGGAGATGGGTTCATGAAGCCCCACCTACCTTAGGAGTGATTGGCAGTTAATGGTTGCTGGGAAGGAAGAGTCATTTTCTTCTGTGATGTAACTGTTGTTAAAGTTGCCAGTAAATAACCTTTCATGCATGCAGCCCTACCTAATTAAACCCTGTGAGTCACAAAAGAAGCCACAAAACAACAACAACAGATCCCAAATCAACCATGAAAATAGGAGAGAGACGTGTTGGGAAGATTGGCTCAGTGGCTCAGCGAGAGTGGGAAGGGGTGGGGAAGAATAATGGAGAGGTGATGAGAATGAGAAAGCACGTCATATGCACATATGAACTTACCAAAAAATAACAGTAATGAAAAGGTTGTGCTTAAAGTTACCATATGCCCAAGTTGCACTCTTGAGTGTACTCTCTTAATAGAGCTGAAAATACAGCCATGCATAACATCATTATAAATGCTCATAGCAGTGTTATTCATGATAGCCCAAAGGTGGAAACAGCTCCAGAAAACAGTGGTAAGTCCATACAGTGGACTATTACTCAGATCTAAAAAGATACATGCAAGCTACACCAAGGCTGACCTACCACACTACCACTGTGCCCAGAGCTTTCATGTCATTGTGCTTGGGTGCCAGAACAATTAGATCCATCGAGACAGAATCTAGGTTAGTGGTTCCCAGGGGTGAAGGAGTGCCTGCTAAGGAGACGGAATTCCCTTATCAGAACATGAAAAACATGGTTTGAATTTGGTGATGATTATTGCAGGTTTGTGATTATACTAATAACACTGAGTTCTATACTGTGAAGAGGGTGGCTTTGATGTGTGAATGGCATCTCTTAATAAAAAAGAAGTAATACACTAGTGTTCATATTCATGAGACAGATTATGTCCATTATCCTATTTAACTTCACAGTTAGGCTGAGAAGTCAAGTAACTTTGCTTGGGGCAAAGAGGTCAAGAAGTGTCACGCTGCATACCACGCTGGGGATGTGCAATTGTCCCCTGGGAACTTAGTAAGCAGTTGTATTCGGATTGCCCTCTGAGACACTCTGACTAGTTTGAGGTTAAGCTCGACTTCCAGAACCCTTTATGCTTTGAACTCTGTGCATTTAACTCTTTATCATGTTTGTGAATTATTAACTTGTAAGAAACTTTCCTCCTGACAGTTTTCTCAGGTGACAGTTTCCAGTCTTAATTATGTGTGTGTGAGATAAAGCCCATGTGTTTGCAGTGCCTTCTGAGTCCTGAAGAGGGAGTGGGATCCCCTGGAATCTTGAGTTACAGGAGGTTCCCTGTGAGCTGCCTGACATGGGCTCTGGGAACCAAACGCAGGGTCCTCCGAAAGAGGAGCAGGCGGTTTG